GTGGGAAATTTCATGGGTTTCCTCATCTATCATGTAGGTGATTATATATGGATACATTTACAAAAATAAGAAAAGCGGGATTTTTTTCCCTTCGACTTGAATATTATCCCTGTATATTGCGTGAATGAGAGATTTCCCATCTTTCCATCAGAGTAAAAAATATACTTGCTTTAATTCTTAAGCATAAGTGAACACAATATAAAAATATATGCTGAATTACTTGTGAAGAATGCATTTAAAGCTATTTTAAATGTGTTTTTGTTTGTAAGACAATTAATTATGAGACAATTGGTTATTACGCTTACTGTTTTAATCTGGTGGTAAAGGTATTCTTAAGAATTTGCAAGTACTTTAGATGTTCAAAACTGAATGAGAGCAAACTGTATAACCTGCTGTTCCTTTAGTGCAATACAATAAAACTCTGAAACTAAGACTCACTTTCAGTGCATTGTTTGAGATTACAAATAGCTATTTCTTGAACTTGCTTAATCCACAATAAAGACACCCTATTGCCATTTAAAACAAACAAACAAACACACTGCCGGGATGTTCCAAGGAGCGCAGGTGGCTGGCAGCCTCCGACTGCACTGCCTTCGGACCCACTGTCCTGTCGGGGCTGAAGCCACGTTCTTCTCTGGCAGCCCCAGGCAATGGCTGAGCGCGGCCCCAGGGCCCCAGATCTGCAGGCTCTTTTTCAGGGCTGCACTAGGCTGAGGCGCTTCCTACCCCACCTCTTTCCCCCACTGTTCCTTTCCCAGGGGTTGGGTCTGCATCGCAGCATGCAGGGCTTCCTGCTCTTCGACACGTGGCGCCCTGGCTCCCGTGGCCTCGGCATCCGTCCCTCCGGTTCCCGCTTCCCGAAACGGCCGTTCCACGCTCTTGAGAGCTTTCTAGGCTTGGCTGGCCACAGGAAAAGCAGAAGGACGTCGGAGTGGCTAGACCTGAGTTTGCGTTCCTGCTCCCGCCCCTCACCTGTCTGCCTGTCAGGGACGTCGTGCGGATTAGATGACTACAATGTGCCATGTGCCTGGCACGTGTGCCACACACAGCCGGCACCTGTCAACGTCAGTGCCCTCTCCTCTCTTTCCCCTCCGAGGGAAAACATCTGGTGCTCCCTCTCTTCTCTTGCCTTCGTGACGGCCACGCTTCGCCTTCCGTGGACGCCTCTATACAGCGCCCCGGCCCACCCCGTCGCCCACACACCTTCCATAATCACAGCCATGACTGGAGTTTTCCAGTTCCCCACCTGTCCCTGCCAGGGTGTCCCGTATTTCATTCCCCCTCAAGATTAGGACACAAGCCGGGCTCGGTGGCTCAGCCTGTCATCCCGCGCCTTTGGGAGGCTGGGGCGAGTGGATCGCCCGAGCCCGCGGGTTCGAGACCCGCCTGGGCAGCAAGACCTCATCTCTATAATAAATAAAAAAATCAGCCGGACGTGGTAGCGCGCGCCTGTAGTTCCGGCCACTCGGGGAAGGCTGAGGCGGAAGGATCGCCGGAGCCCGGCAGGCTGAGGCTGCGGAGGCCGGGAGCGGCCGCTGCACTCCAGTCTGGGCGGCAGAGTGAGACTCGAACTCAAAAAAAAAAGATTAGGACACCATAGTAGCACCATAATTAGCAATGCTGTACTGAAGAAATTGTAGGTGCCATGGTTCTGGAGCCAGCATCTACTGGCTCACAAAACCCAGCTGTTGCATGTTCCAGAGTTTTGCTAGCTAGTTGTTAATACAGCCATTACTAAAAATTAAACTACATAACTTAAAATTAATTATATTAAAACTAAGGTAAAATACTCAAAACTAATCGCTTACAAGTTATTTTACTACATTTTCTTATTGTCTGTGCTCTTGAGGTTATTTATGCTCGTATCTGTAAGTGGAAATACTCTCTAATGGTATTTAAAGTTGGACTCGTCTCTTTCCAACTTCGTGTAAAGTTATATCATGTTGGTGGCTTGAAATCTGCCATAGTGGCAGATGAAAAATAAGAGCTGCTACAAATGAGAACTTTTTTTCAGGGCCAATTGTTAAACACTGGCCACACAACACTTAGTGGATTCTTTCAAATATGGCCCGATAGCAACAACCAAATCTACAAAAATAGCTAAAGAAATAGGGCGTATTTTAAAGAAATGATGCACAAGATATCCCAATCAAACCACTTGCAATTCCTCAGACACATCATGTCTTTTCATTCCCCATGTCTTTTTCATTGATCTAAAGACTAGATTAATAAATGATTAAATGAATGTTCCTCTTCTGAGCAACCATAATATTCTGTCCTTGTTTCACTGGCTTCATCACATTATAATCGTTTGTCTTTCCCCAGAAGATAGCATGCTCCTTGAGGCAGGGACTCTGTCTCTCAAACTTGGTGTTCTCAAAGGCCTGCTAATGGCAGAAAATCAATAAATTGTTGAATGAATAAAATATTTGTATCACTAGCTTGCCTGCAGCAACACTTCTCAAACACTCGGTGTCAAGACCCCTTTATACTCTTTAAAATGTTTGAGGATACTTAAGAAATTTTGTTGGCTGGGCTCGGTGGCTCAGCCTATAATCCCAGTGCTTTGGGAGGCTGAGGTGAGTGGATTGCCTGAGCCGTGGGTTTGAGACCAGCCTGGGCAACTTGATGAGACCTCGTCTCTACAATAAAATAAAAAAACTAGCCGGGAATGGTAGCGCGTGCCTGTAGTCACGATTCCTTGGAAGGCTGAGGCAGAAGGATTACCTGAGCCCAGCAGGTCAATGCTGGGGTGGCCATGAGTGTGCCACTGCTCTCCAGCCTGGGCTGCAGAGTGAGACTATAACTCAAAAACAAAAAAAGAAATTTTTTTATATGGATTGTATCTATTGATATTTACTATATTCAAAAGTAAAAGTGAGGCAATTTTAAAACACAAGAATACACAACCACACATTAAACTTACCATGAGAGTAATGATGTCTTCGCAAGTCATGAAGTTTTTGGGAAACCCCAATGAATCCTCATAAGATAATGAAAACAAAAAGGGAAATGATATGTTAATGTTGATGTGAAAATAGTTTTGATCCCACAAATTCTCTGACCAGATCTCAGGAACCTCTGAAGGAGTCTTAGTGCCCCCAAACCTTTAAAATCACTGCCTTATAGTAACTCTTCAACTAAATAGACTGACCCCGAAAAATATACTCAGTTGAGCATAGTAACCATTTCTCAGTGGGATCTTTGAGAAGGATGAACTGGCAGCCATTTGTGGTGAATCGTTGTTTTGTGGATTAAATCATGTGACTTTTGTAAAGCAATAGCATGACACTGAGCACAATTAATCTAGTACATATTTTGATAGAACGTCTAGAGGCTAAGTTCTTTGGTGTTTTTTTTTTTTTTTGAGTTGGAGTCTCACTCTGTCGCCCAGACTGGAGTGCAGTGGCCGCTCCCGGCCACCGCAGCCTTGACCTGCTGGACTCGGGCGATCCTTCTGCCTCAGCCACCCAAGTAGCTGGAATTACAGGCATGTGCCCCCATGCCCAGATAATTTTTTTGAAAATTTATTTATTGTAGAGACGAGGTCTTGCCAAGTTGCCCAGGATGTTTTCAAACCCGTGGGCTCAGGCAAGCCTCTCGCCTGGGCCTCCCAAAGTGCTGGGATTATAGGCATGAGCCACTGCACCTGCCTTTGCATTAATTCTTCACTCACATTTCCTCATACCAGAAGAAGCCGCAGCTCCCACGTCCACATTCTAGGGCACCCTGTGAGCACATGGCAACACAACCCTCCCGCCCCAGGTGACAGCATCGTGCCAGGGAACAGGCTGTGGGAAAGTCACTGTTTTCCCTCAGCCGTTGGGATGGCAGCAGCATGACGGGCAGCTCTGCCCCGAACGCTGCAAAGTCTCAGAGTGCACCTCAGGTCTGCACGGCCGTCGCTGGAGACAGAACTGACAGGTTGGGGAAAATGGGGCGCTAAGCTCCCTCGATCCATGTCCTTTCCTTTTGTAGCGTCCTGATGACACCAGAGCAGAGAGGCCAGGGTGTGACTCACCCCGAATGTAAGGCTTACGGCCAAAGCTGATGGCTGACTATAAAGAGTTGTAGGTTGGTTTGGTTTCCGGCATTTTGTTTTTGTTTTTTTTCTGGTTGTGGCAGGTTTGGAAAGGGACAGCCAGTCTTAGCTTTGAGATGCCACAGATGATCCCCCAAATGTCTTAAAGTGCAACTAAATATTTCCACCACAAACTTTTTTTCCTTTTCTTCAGTTTAACATGTTTTTCCCCAAACTTTTTTTTTTTTGAGTTGGAGTCTCACTGTCACCCATGCTGGAGGGCAGGGGCACGCTCCCGGCCACCGCAGCCTCGACCTGCTGGGCTCCGGCGATCCTTCCGCCTCAGCCTTCCAAGTAGCTGGAACTACAGGCGTGCGCTGCCACATCCGGGTAATTTTTTTTTGATTTATTGTAGAGATGAGGTCTCACCAAGTTGCCCAGGCAGGTCTCGAACCCGCGGGCTCAGGCAATCCACTCACCTCAACCTCCCAAAGCGCGGGATTACAGGCTGAGCCACCAAGCCCAGCTACCGGCTAATTTTTAAAATTTATTTATTGTAGAGACGAAGTCTCGCCAAGTTGCCCGGGAGGGCCACCATGCCTGGCCCCCCAAACACGTTAATACCTGCATTTGCTTCCAGACTCTTTCTCTTCTTACAATTCTGGTTTCTCCCCAAATGAAGAATCACTGGCCTGAGGTTTCCAAAGTCAGAGTAGATCCCTTACCAAAGTGACAGGCACAAAGCCAAAACTGTACCACACCCCCTCTAAAGAAGAGAAGATCAGTGGAAAAGGAACATCTGCCAACATGCTCTGTGACCTTTCTCCCCTGTGGCCCTCAGGGTCCTCACTTAAATCGAGGAGCTGGATCTCTAACTCTCAGCTCCGAGAGGGTGTGCTATCACCTGCCAAGCCGGCCCCAAGCTTGCCGGAAATTTTGCTGTTGATGAGTGTGGCTCCTCCTTCCGTTTCACACCCCGATTAAATAGCTTCTCCTCCGAGGGCTTTTGAAGTGGAAGCACACTTCCTACTCCTGCCCGAGCGGCTCTCCCAGCATGAGAGCGGCACCTGCGCTTGCGGCCCGGGTAGGGAGCCTTCGCCTCGGCTTCTTGCTTCTGCTTTCCTTCCGGCTAGACCCAGAGGTGCTGGCCAGAGAGCTGAAGTTCGTGACTCTGGTAAGCAGACCTTTCTCGTTGCTTTTTCCTTAAAACGGCGTCCCCAGCAGGGGCAGAAAACCGAGTGTCAGGTTTCATTTTACTCTTGGATTGTCTCCCAGAGCCAAGTCCTGCACAAATGCAAAGTGAGCAGTCAAGTTTCACAAGTTCCTCCTAATGAAGACCTCACCTGTCCTAGCCCACAGGTGTTTTCGTTTCGTTTTCTGCCTTTGCGGGTGCCACTTCCTGACTCGATGACAACTGCCTTAAGTTCAGACTCTGGCCGGCAGCGCCACGACGCGTGGTGGGCGCTGCTTGGGAGCCAACTGCTAGACTGGCTCCCTTCAACCTCAATCATTTGTTTGCAAACCAAAAGACAGTCATTTTCGGAATTGGGCGGCCTCTTCCCCTTTTGTTTATCTGGAAATTGGAGCAAATATTTGCAAACAGCCTTTGAAGCTAAAAGCAAAACTATTTTCACTTTTTGGGGGAATGACTTCCCGATACATAGATTTGGTGGGCCATGAAAATCATGCCTTCCCTGCCCATGGTGTGTTTGACAAGTTAGAAAGAAAAGGAGGGGCTGATGATGCTGCCAGGAAAGGAAACACACAGTCCCACAGGCCAGAAACGACGGAAAGAGGGTTGCAAAGCAAAGGGATTCGCCATGTTCCATGGAAGTCTGATTTTCTGTCTCTGCATCTCTTTTTCCTTTCCTTTCTTTTTCAGTTTGACTCTCCCAGTCTCTCCTTGTCTTTTATAGGCAGTCTCGCTCCGTTTTTCTTCTGCACGTTTTTTGTTTGAAACAGGGAAAGCCAGCTGGTAAATAAGTAAATTTTCTGTCTGTAAGCATGCTAAAAAATGATTTGTCTAATTGGAGGACAGTAACTGTTAGGGTTCCGACAGGGTGAGGGTGGATGGATGGACAGGGAGAAGGGTGATGAGGCGCAGCACCGCCAGAGCCGGCAAGCCGGAGATGCGCGCTGGGAACCCAGAGATCCGAGTAGATGCAAAGACTTGCGACACACAGAGGTGAGAGAAGAAAAGATTTATTTAAGAAAAGTCCACCCCCCACAGAGAGGGAGTGGGCCTACACTCTAGATGAGTGTGGCCTCATAGCCCCCTAGAGTCCTGGCTTAAATCCTTCTCTTGGAGATGTTGCATGTGACTGCGTGACTGCTGTGACTCCCTTGTCGACCACCTGCGGATGTCTTGGAGAACCTGTGACACAGAGACCCACTGATATCCACCCACATTATCACAGCCCCTAGAGAAGGGCGTGGCAAGGATTCTAATGCTCCTGCACCTTCCCGAACGACATTCCTTAGAGCTAGTGGAGGGTGCACCTCCCTTTATCTCCTAGGCATTCCCAGTGGGCGGTTTCGGGGGATCCTTGGCTTCCCTGTAGACAGCGCCCAATTTACTGGAAGATCGAACCCCCACCTGCTCTCCGTCTGAGCGGTCATAACTTTTGTAATGACAAGTTTCGTGACTTTTTCAGTCCTTGCCCCATGCATGATATCTTAGGCCTTGTAAATTCCCTTTAGTCTAGGCAAGCTTGATGGCCACTATGCGATACCTCTGACACCTGGAAGTCTGCTTCTGAAAAGACAAAGTCGGTAAAGTTAATTATACCTAAAGTGTGCATTTCTCCAAAAGCACAGCTTCTGCTTCCTCATCATTGTGTCAGGGTTTCAGAACAAGACGAAAAATGGCTTCCCACTGTCCTTTCAGTAACTTTTTACTTAAATGTTAAACATGAAGCTCCTCTTTTCTGAGCATGGGGTATTCAAAGTTCTTTCTACAGAAAATCTGATAACCATATGCATATCCAAATCATGATTTTTAGTCCAGTAAATCTCTACTAGCTCACAAGTCGACAATGATAGAAGACCAGAGAAACATGCTATCAATTTACCTCGGAATCATTCACCAACCATCAGACTTCAGTGCTGAAAAAACAGCATGATGCACTTTCTTGGCCCTTATGAAGCAACTTCCTTCTAAGGACTTAAGCCAGAAGGCATCACCTTCTTCTTTTTAGTGATTCAGGAGAATATGTAACGGTAAGTGGTTGAATTATACATACAAAAATTTTTTTTGAGTTGGAGTCTCACTCATGCTCACGGCCACCGCAGCCTCGACCTGCTGGGTTTAGGTGATCCTTCCGCCTCCGCCTTCCAAGTAACTGGAACTACAGATGCAAGTCACCATGTCCCCCTAGTTTTTGTGATTTATTGTAGAGACGAGGTCTCGCCAACTTGCCCAGGCAAGTCTCGAACTCCCGGGCTCAGGCAATCCTCTCACCTCGGCCTCCCAAAGTGCTGGGATGACAGGCTGAGCCACCACGCCCAGCCCAGAAAAATTTTTAGGAAATCACTAGGAACCAGAATGAAAAAAGATGCCCCTGATTAAAGTGGTAATATTAATGATAACAACCAATAGTTAATTGAATGCTCACTATATACAAGGCGCTGTTCTGAGAGTTCAGTATGAATTGTGTCACACAATTCTCCCAACAGTCCTGTAAAGTAGGGTTACAAGATAAAACACAGGACGGCCATTTGAATGTAAATTTCGGATAGACAGTGAATAATTTCGAGTGTAAGATGCCCCGTGTGATATTTGGGCAGCCGTATTTTTATTTGCCAAACCTGGCAACCATTCTATAAAGTTTTGTAAAGCTTATTCTTATAGATGACGAAATTGAGGCACAGAGGTGAAGCAACTGGCCCATGCTCACAGGAATGATGGAGACAGGATGTGAACCCAGGCTGTCTGACCCCAGGGCCGTTCCCTTCATCACTAGACAGGCCTGTTCCTGCTGGGTGCATGCAGCCCAGCACCTGGAGTGTTCCCCCCTCACCCCCCACCCCCCGCAAGGTTTGCCATATTGGCTTGACTCAGACCAGCAGGTGGTTTCCTTGCTTCCTGCTCTGTGATCCAAGGAAAATAAATCTTCCTCAATCCCGAAAAGCTGGACTTGGCAGAAAGAGCAGGAAACTGTCCCTGCTTCTTGTTCTTCCCCATGAACAGAGTCACAACATGATCTTTTCAGACAGATTAGCCAACGTGCCTACGCCCCATGGAGGGCTAGTTTGACGAGCTGTTAACAGGTGCTGCCTGGGAAGTCGGTCAGCTTTGGGAACAGCACTAGGTTCAGCTGTGTCCAGAAGATCTCTTTAGTGCGGAACTCCCCAGTCCTTAACATGCTAATGGGCTCTGTGGCTTTCAAGGAAGGAACCTATTGTTTCTAAAACTCTGTGTATTACACATTATTCTTTTTATCCACCTGTCCCGTGATAAACACTTAGGGAACTGCTACTTTTAACTTTCCTTAGAGAGAATAGTTAAGTCTGGGAAATCTGAATTTACCCACCAGCCAGCTTCAAAAGCTGTCACTCATGGCCAATCTCGTTTCATCTACACGCCACTCATTTCCCACCCACACCCCCGTGACTTTTTTGAAGAGATTTCATGCATCATATTGTTCCATCCAGAAACAGAAAAATGCCACTTGAAAGCACTCTTGGCTGGGTGTGGTGGCTCATGCCTGTAATCTCAGCTCTCTGGGAGGCCAAGGTGGGAGGATCGCTTGTCTAGGAGCTTGAGACCAACCTGGGCAGCAAAGCAAGGTTTTGTCTCTACCAAAAAAAAAAAAATTAGCTGGGTTTGGTGGCACACACCGGGAGTCCCAGTTACTTGGGAGTTTGAGGCTGTGGTGAAACATGATTCTGCCACTACACTCCAGGCTGAGTGACAGAGTGAAACCCTGACTCAAAACAAAACAAAACAAAGCGAAAACAGTCTCACTCTGTCGCCCAGTCTGGAGTGTCGAAAAGAAAAAATCCTCTCTCTGTGATGCTAGGAAAAAACCGCAAGTTCAGCTCGTCTAAAACAGAGAAAATTCTGGCCCTACCAGGATTTTACAACGAACAGGAATGACGAGTCACAAGGCGCATGCGCTCCCCGCCCTTCGTGTCTGACTTCTTTGTGCAGAATTCGCATCCAAGGCGCAGGACAGTATCCATGGAAATAGCTTCAGAATCCTGATTGCACGTCTATATCGGGATAGGTAAAGTCGACAGTGTGGTGGGGCAAATTCCAACGACATGAGCCAGGGCATGTTTCCAGGGACAGCGACCCTCGGGTCTTCCCCACTCCCACTTCTCAAGCTGGCAGTCCGGTCCTGTTGTTAATTTTCTCATGCTGGCGGGGCTTGAGGGGTGGCTCATGCCTGTAATCTCAGCACCTCGGGAGGCCAAGGCCAGAGAAATGCTTGATCCCAGGAGTTGAGGACCAGCCTGGACAACATAGTGAGACCTAGTCTTTACAAAAAAATTAAAAACTTAGCCGGATGTGGTGGTGTGTGCCTGTAGTCCTAGTTACTCAGGAGGCCGAGGCGGGAGACTGAGGCAGAAGGATCGCCTAAGCCCGGGAGGTTGAGGCCGCAGGGAGCCGTGATTATGTTACTGTGCTCCAGTCCGGGTGACAGAGTGAGACTCTGACTAAAAAAAAAAAAATTCCTAATGCCATGTGCTAAGACTAGAAGGTGGAGGCCACCCCTGGAAAAGCACTGGCTTCTCATTAATCCAGGTTGCAGCATCTTTGGCCAGGTCAGGCTACAGCCATGTCCTGTAATCCAGCTGAGTCTCAATGCCCCAGATTTAAAGTTGAGGATGATGATCCTAGCTAGGCTTCCCACATCACAGAGTTATTTTAGGGTAAATAACACGATTTGGATGTTAAAGGGCGAAACCTAATGCAATTGCTAGAAGTCATTAGTCTTAAACAGAAGCCTTCCAACTGTTTGGACAAAATCCAGATGATCGTTAATTATCCTTTTATTTTATTTATTTTTATTTATTTATTTATTTTTGAGTTGGAGTCTCACTCTGTCACCCAGACTGGAGTGCAGTGGCTGCTCCCGGCTACCGCAGCCTTGACCTGCTGGGCTCCAGCGATCCTTCCGCCTCAGCCTTCCAAGTAGCTGGAACTACAGGCACACGCTACCACACCCG